CGCGGTGCCCGCGCCGCGCCCGCCGCACGCCGCCGCCGCCACCCCACTCCAGGCAGGCGCCGTCCTCCCCGGCGCTGACCGGGAGCGGCCCCCGCAGCACCACGGCGGCCACTCGCGCCCCGTGCCCGTAGCACACCAGCAGGCAGGCGCCGGCCCCGTCCCCGCCGCCCAACTCGCCCACGGCCCACAGCCGCACGCTGCGGTCTTCGGAGGCGGAGGCGAGCAGCCCCCGCGACGCCGCGTAGCAGAGCGCGAGCACCGCGCCCCGGTGCCCGCACAGCTGACGCTGCGGGGCCGTCGCCGCCGCCGCCCGCCACACCATCACGTTCCCCGTCGCCGTACCGGCCGCCAGCGCCAGCCGCCCCCAGCTCACCCCCGCCAGCACGGCGCAGCGCAGCGCCCCGGCCCCGGCACAGCTCGCCTGCCGCAGCCAGCGCCCGCCGCCCCACCACTCGTAGAGCGCCACGGTCCCGCCGCCCAGCGCCATCGCCAGCCGCCCGCCCGCCGCCCAGCGCACCTCCCACACCCGCGCCCGGAGCTCGCGCGCGGCCCCGCCGCCGCACGCCGCCAGCAGCGGCCCACCGCCCGCTCCGCCGCGCCGCACCGCCAGCACTGCCAAACAGCGCCCGCCGAAGACCGCTACTCGCGCCGCCGGCCCGCGCCCCGGCTCCGGCTCGGCCCGCAGCCCCTGCACGCTGGCCTCACGCAGCACGCTCCGCCGGCCTGCCGCCGCTGGCCCGCCGCCGCTCAGCCGAAACGCCACCACCTCCGGGCCTGTACCTGCGGGACACCGCGTCAGCCGCCGCCGCCGGCCCCGCCGCCCGCCCCGTTCCGGTCCCAGCGCTCACCCGCCAGCAGCACATCCCCCGCGAACTCCAGCGCTGTCACCGGCGCCACCAGCGCTACCGACTCCATCTTAGCCGCACCACCGCCTATTGGCCGGCCCCGCCGCCCCGCCCCGAGCACGCGGACGCGCCGCCCGTGTCTCCACGCTTTATTGGCGCGCGACGCGGCCCCGCCCCCCCCGCCCTGCGCGGGGGAAGGTGACGCGCCCGCGGCGGCGCTCCCGGCACTACAGCTCCAGGTGCACCCCGCTGTAGGCCTTGTCCACTGTCCACTCGCCCGGGGCTCCGGCCCCGGGCCCCGCCTCAGACCCCGCAAAGCGCTCCATCTCCTGCTGGAACTGCTGCTGCCGCCGGCGGTTGGGGTCCACGTTGATCCAGTTGTTAGCGATCCACTTGGTGCCCTGGGTGACCAGGCAGCCCCCGTGCAGAGCGAAGTCGTCCAGCTCCCCCACCCAGCCTGCGGAGCAGAGCCCCGTTAGACGGTGGCACAGGAGAGCAGGCACAGCTGGGACCGCACACGGACACACGGCCAGTGAACACCAATGCCATCTCTCCTGCCTGCAGTACCTGCTTGGATCTGAGCTCAGATCCATCTTCCAGCAGTTACTTTTCCTTGCACCCCTCCATCTTAGTGCCTTCTCTAGCACCTATAAGGAGTTCATCAGGACAGGCTCCCTGAGTGCAAAATGCCCACTGCCTCCATCTCTCCACTCAGCACGAGTGGCTCTCACAATCCAGATCACAGCCTGTTTTTCTCAGCTCTCCTGGAAAAAGGAAGGCTGGCATGCTGCTGGTGGGTACTTCCACTAGAAGTACCAGTACCAGTGGTGGGTACTTCCACTAGAAGGCCTGAGGAAGCCAGAGGCTTGCAGCCATTTTAGAAATTGCATTTCAGCAGTTCTAAATGACCTTTTTACAATGATCCTATCATTTTTCTGTGGCAGACTTGCATCAGCAGCCACTTTCCATTTAGGAACAAATTGCTCATAAAAACACAACAGGGCTCTTCCAGTAGGAGAGTGACGACTCTTGCTATTATCACCCAACAGCCCAAACGCTGGTCTTGTGACCTGCTCTGAGGATTTTCTAGAGATGAAAACATGGGCTGCTCTCAGGGGACCTGGGACGCTACACTCCTTCCTCCAACCAAAGCTCAAAATCTGCCATGGAAACCCTCTGGAGCCATACTCACCAGCAGCCTTAAAGATTCATGTTCATTCCCAGCCTGTCAGGGAAAACCGCACTGCGCTTCGTGACAAAAACAGCCCCAAGGACCCATCATGGGGCTGTGGCTGAGCTACAAAGCAGGCACTGGCCCCAAGCGTGGCATGGGGTGGCCCATGTGTCCTCATGCTGCAGAGCTGATGGCCGTGCCTTTGTCTACCTCCCCTCCCCACCCCTTTGGGCAACACCACATCAGTGACACATTTTGAATTGCAGACCAAGTTCCAGCAGGAGTTTCAGCTTGCACAGTGGGATAGAAGGCAGCTGGTGATGGTGAGTGCAGCCAAGGTCTTTGTTTGCTAGCTAGTCCTGTCCCCCAAAGACATCAGGAGCCACTGACCTACTGCCTGTAAACAAAAGCCTTTCAGAGTCAGGAAGCTCCTGCTCAGCTGTTGACAAAAAGACTCTACAGTTCCCACTAGCAGGCAGCTACCACCCTTCTTTTGGCTGCTCTTTGAGCTCCCAGCTGCAGCAAGGAGATGATGGCTGTAACCTACTGCAGTCCCACCCCTCCCAAGAGCCCAGTTTTGAAGTGAGCCTGTACCTTCTCCATCTGACAGGTAGTTGTACCAGAAGACAGCGGTGCCTTGCTGAGGTTTCACTCGCAAATTGCCCTTGTCACAGTTTTTCCGAGTATCTCGCAGGTCAATGTCATTCTGGATCAAAGACTGGACAGAAACCATAGGGAAGATGTCACAAACAGGGCTGGGACAAGGCACACACACTGGGTTGCCCCTGCCCCTCACCCTTGCCTGAGTATTCCACAAGTTGGCTTAAGGTTGATGCAGGAGCTTTCATAACCCATCTGGAGCAGCCAGTTTCAGGCCCCAAGAAGTTCATAACCTGTTTCTGAGCAGCTGCCATTTCTTAACACTTTGCCTGACACCTTACACCTCTGAGAAGGGAGAGCTGAGCTGTCAAAGCTCTGTGCCTCTTCTGCCTCTTCCCCTGTCCTCAGAAGAAAAAGACTACAAATGGAGCACGGTTTCCCCAGTGCTCTAGCTGCAAATGCTAATGCACACCAAGCTAACACACCAGAGCCCTTCTGCAGCCACAATGAATAAAGACATTTCAAGAGGGACTCAGAATCCCCAGGGGTAACCCATAGGCAAGGTTCATTTACCATCTCTTCGTACGTCCTATTATCGGCGATAGGAAAGACTGTTTCACCTCCCCCAGTCACATTGTTCAGGTAGAACAGCACAGTCACATACCTGCAAGACAGAGACTGTCAGGAGACACACCTGGAGCAGGAGGAGATGCACACGAGCTCTCCATACCCTGCTGCTCCACCATAAATACAGTGGTTCCTCCAAGACATCACACGTGATTTACACCATCAGCTTTTCTCCAAGAGTAACACAAGGACAACACAGAAAACCCCTACCCGGAGTAATGAGTGTGCTTGTAGGCTCTGCTGGGGCAGGCCCACCCACTCCACCCTCCTTGCGTGGACCCAGGTGGGATTTGCCCACCTCCCCTTTGAAACCCCTTCATGCCTGTGATGTCCTGAGCTGTTTGTGAGCCCACAACCCCAGCACTGAGTCCCAGGTGAGATGAAGTGAGGCGAAATGGCTCTTCACACCCCTTGTCTAAGGTGCTCAGGGCAGAGCTTACCGGCAGGAGGTCTCAAAGGGAGCGCTCTCATTGGCAACAAGCTTTGTGTGGCTGCAGGCGGTCTCGGGGAACACGGGGCCGCTGTCCATGTGGGCGTGGTAGTGCCCTCCTTGGTCGTACCGCACAACCTGGAGGGGCTCGCTGTGCTCCACGATCTCGGGGGGCAAGCGAGTGAGGCGCATCACCCTGGGGAAGAGCAGAGCAGGTGAGTGGAAAGCCACCCTCACCCTAGCCAGCCACTACTCCCAAGCAGTGAATAAACCCAGAGAAAGAGAGCCCCCTTCCCCAAAAGACCGGAGAGACGGATGGGCTGCAGCGAGCATGCCAAGAGACAAACAGGTCCTTACTCATCTGTTGGACCACAGCATCGGCTCAGAAAACCCTCATCAAGGTTAATTAAAAACCAAAACAAAACTGAAGGAAGCATCTCTAGCAGGACTGCTCTCAGGAAGACTTTGCTTGCTCAGCAAGATCCCTTCTGTGCATGTCCCTGGAGCCTTCATGTGCCATCTCATCACTTCTCTGGACTCCTGCACACCACCTACAGACCTCAGGGACAGTTAGCAAAGCACAGGACCCCTGCTGAGAGTGAACGAGAGACTAGCTCTAGGAACAGTCTTGTCACCTAACTCACCTTTCCCTGTTGCCTTTTCAGCAGCCTCCCCCAGGGCAGAGGGGCACTGGAAGTGATCAAGGAGACCGGAGCCCTCCTGCTCTGGGATTTTTCCACTGCTACATCTGAGATCATCCCCAAGGCAAGCAGGTACGTCTTGAGACCTGCCAAAGAACACTCAGAGCTCTGAGAATCCGGACTGGTGAAGCCCTTGGGGCAGGTGCAAGGACAATGTGGCACCTGGGCAGGATGGCGAAGCCCCTGCAGGCGCTGCCTGGTCCAAGGGAGGACTAACAGCCTCCTTCAGTGCTGTGTCTTCACATCCTCCTGACAGTGGCCAACTGCAGAGCGTGCAAGCGGAATGCCGATGCCTGTGTGTGCTGGCTGGCTGGCACAGAGAAGGTGACAGCCACAGTCTGTTCTAATCAAGGCAATATGTGACCCCATTTTCCCACTGGAATGCACTGAAGAAAAGGAGTGGCCAACAGCCGTTTTTAAGGCCTCAGGACAGATTTTACCCACCCACATTCTGGGTGAAGACCAGCACCACAAGAACATGTGAGTCTCCAGCCAGTTATCTGAAACTCACTAAAACTACATGATTTGGCCTTCATGCTGGGCTTCAGCTCTTCCCAGTACCAAATCTGAGATGAAGGGAAAGGTAAGAGGTTCTCCCATCTGCCATGAGCTGCCCTACAATATGTTTGCTTGGAGGATTAAACTAACTTGACTAATTTAAGGTGAAGTTGTGCTTTTTAAAAAGTCAGCTCTGAACAGCAAAGACAGATTTCAGTGAAATGCATGAGTAACTAAAGCAAATGACAGTAACTGCTGGCACCCAGACAGCATTGGAAACGGGCAGTTTCTCCCAGTAAGCTCAGTTACTAATTAGAATGAATAATTTCATATACTGCCAAATCTTCCTGGTTTTATAGGGCTGTTCCCAAAAGTGAATGGAGATGCTGAAAGGCTCGATTTTTCTTTTTCCCTTTCCACAGGACAATGCAAATTCTTCTTCTAATGAAAACCTCCTCTCTCCATTTTGTGTCTGTGTTCATTGCTCTTTATACTCCAAGGACTCTTCACACAATTAGGAAGTGTGAATATTAGCAAGTCTGCCACTGCCTGTCCCAGCACACAGGTGATGCTTGTCCCTACCCAAACCCAACGTCCCCTCAGCTCCCTGGCCCTTACCTTTGCCGGATGGCTCTCATGACCTGGTGTGCCCCCTCGCCCTGGTACAGCCACGTGTGTTGGCTGTTGCGCACCAAGTCACTCATCTTCACTTTCTGGCTTCCCATGTACTTGTGGAAATCACGGATGTTCAACTGCTTGAACTCCTCCAAACTTAGCACACCTATGGGAACACAGGAAAAGCCACCTGACTGTGGTGCAGGTAATAGTTCTTGCATCCTGTACTCGGAGGAATACCTCAGCTGAGGGCACTGCAGAAACTGCCTTCCTCACACAGACCCCAGTCAGGGCCCACCGTGTTCACCACAGGCTGCACCCCTTCTGCCCATGATCATGGGCTCCAGCAAAGCTCTCGCCTGCAGCAGAGGACACAGAGCAACCTGCCAAAGTCAACTGTGCAGGGTCAGAACTGGGACAAGCAAAACACCATTTAAACTTTAAAAAGCTCCTGAAACACACAAATCCATATATCCATAGAGAAACATACACTACAGTGTCTGTATGCGCAAGAAAGTCTGTGCCACCCAATGTCTTGAGGCTTATTGTTTAGATATTTAAATCAACATGTTTGAGGGACAGAGTGGGACCTCAGACCACACTTTCTATATGACCTTGCAGGGTAATTACAAAAAAGTCAAACCCAAAACAAGCAGTACATTCTCCTGCATTTGTGTAACTGCAAAACATAAATGAGGAATCCATGACAGCATGGTCTTGCGTAAATAGAAATAACAGAAAAGCAAGAGGCACAAAGCAGTTTCTCCTAAAACAGGTATTTCTTGTTTGCACTCAACTGGAATCAGCAAAAGGTAGACTCTTGCCTTTGTCAGCTTCAGGAAAATCCTCACATTTGTTGTTTCCTCTTTCTGGAGAGGGGAAGCCTTGCACAGGTCCCTGATAGCAGCATGCAGTGCTCTGCCCTGGGCTGCCCTGCACACCCCATGGTCTTGGAGAGGAGCTCACTCAGGCAGCAAACCCAGGGCGGCAGCTCTGCTCCCTGGGCACGAGCACCCCTTGGCAGGAGGAAGGACCAGCCACAAGGGTCAGCCAGGGACACTTCCTCAGGTGCCACATCCTCAGGTCATGCCCAAATGATCCACTGTTATTATTCCTAGTGTCTCTCTGTCTGCACTTCCCCTTACTCCCCACAGTCTTTGATGACGCAGTGCCACATCCAGGTTGTGACCTGGTCTCTCAGTGTCATGTACCAATCTAACAACAGAGGGAAGCAGCACTCTGGAAGCAAGGTCCTGCCAATAGCCCTTTAACAGGACCTTTCATTTGTTAATGTCCAGAATGGTGGAAAAGCCACTGAGGATTCAGTCATACCCCTGCCAAGAATGCCACCAGCCTGGAGGAGAGTTGCACAGGGTGCCCTCCGGATATTTATGCTTTCACACTGCTACTGCTTCAACTCCAAAGCAGCTCCTCCTGGGCAGCTCTCAATGCCAGGTCACTGGAAGAGACTGTGCATTCACTTAATTTGATTAGGAAATGGAGTGTTGCTTAATTGAGGCCACTCTAATTAGAGCAGCAGAGGTTAGAGTGTATGTCCGGACCAGCAGGAGCCCTTGGGAGACCGGGGGCAGGAGGGGCAGAAGTGGCCTCATGGAATACAGAGATGTTGCAGTGGCAGAGAGGGGGGTCAGCACCAAAGGCTGACAGACAAGATCACCCCCACCTCCACTTATTCCACTGTCCCCTCACAGTGACATGGACCTCTTGGCCTGCTGCAAAAGTCTCCCTGAAAACAGGGGGGCATGCAATGTGTGTCTGAACACCTGCATCCCAGGTAACAAGAGCTCTGTAGTTAGAACCTGAGTGGTCTCTCAGACCAGGGGAACAGAAGCACAGCCCTAAGATCCTGTTACGGCGGGGCATGAACCAAAGCAGGTCTGACAGAGGAAAGGGAGTGCAGAGTTGTGGTCCTGCTCCAGCAAGATCCAAGCCCAGGCAGTGGGAGCAGTTAGCTGCTGGAGCGGTGATGCAGGAGCACGTTACCCTGCATGCTCTTCCCTGAGGAGGTGTCTAGGGCAGTGCTACTTCCCTTCAAAGAATTCAACCAGACAAAAAAGTCCTTGGCAGGGACATGGCTCTTGCTCTCCCCCACATGGCTGTGCAAGATGTCCAAGGTGCTGAGGGTGAAGGGATTCCCATGGAGCTGCTCTTACCATTCCCATCAGGATCAGCTTTGACTGCTGTGTACATCTCCCGGATGTTCTCAGGGGTCATCCACCTGCCGTTTCCAAGTCGGGTATGAGTCAACACCTGAAATTCATAAATGGATCAAAAAAAAAAAAAAAAACCCAAAAAACCCAACCCACTGGTTTCTTGCACTCCTGAGACCCTACAGATTCCCTGCATGAGGCCTGGCAGGATCTCCTCCACAGCACATCAGCCAGACAGGCATCAGCACATTTCTACAGAAAGACAATTGCAGTGAGAATCATCTGGCAGCCACACACAGAGTGTCACTGATGAATGCTGTTATTTCTAGTTTAGGTCATGGCAATGACTGCTGGGACTTGGTTAACCAGCCCTGAGGTGGAGAGAGCACAGCTTTCTCTTGAAGGGAAAGTAAAGCTATTGATGATACTATTGATATTGATGAGTGAATGCTTTTACTTGTCCAAGGTAAGGGCTTGGAACAAAATCCTTCCCTTCATCATGTACAGAGAGATACAGAAGCCTGAACAGCTCTTAGCAGGCTCTGACCTTCAGAGAAATGAGCCTTGCCCTGGGCTGTCACTGGCACAGCTCCCCATACTCCACAGCACTCATGCTGCACAGGATGGTTCAGACTCCCAGCTTCACCTGGAACAGGAGCCTGAGGAGGGACATGCTTGAACTGTCAGTACCTGCCCTGATGTAACCTGCCACAGAGGGCAAGGGTGCTGAAGAGCAGTGGACAAGAGGCTTATTATTCCCCTCAGCTCATCAACAGGGGTGGCTTTGCTGGGGCTTGTGAATTCACACAGTGAGTTCCCCACAAGCTGCACAAAGCAGGGCCTACGTGACAAACTCACTTCCCAGGACACACAGCAAGAGGCAACAACCCACAGCACAGGAACATTTTATCCAGCATATTCAAAGCACACATGTCCTGCCAAGGACTGTTGCTGCCTCCCAATAGCATGACAACTGCTGCACATTGCCCAGAAACTTCCATTCTCAAGGCCAGCACAAATTCTGAGGCATAAAATTAAGCAAATTGTGATTGGTATATCCTGGGGTCTGGCCCCACCCAAGCACATGAGTAACCAAGGGAGCATCTGATGAGTGGATGTGCCAGAGGGTCTCCAGCAAACCTTCCCCAGTCTGTCCCACACTCTACCTCTTTGAGCTGCAGCTGCCCATCCTGATTGTGATCCAGCAGATTGAAAATGTCCATCTGGCTGATTTCAATCATTTCCATGGCTTCCTCATAGTCCTCTGTTGGTAGGATCTGGCTCTTCTGTAGTCCCTTTAGCTTTGCCAGATGGACAATGAGCTTGCACTCCTCCTCTGTCAGGAAGTCAGGGATTTCTGCAGCAAAAGTGTGAGCAGGAACAGAGACTGAGGAACTGTTACAGTGGGATCCCATGCTGATAGCAGGAGTCTCAGGAAAAAACAATCAAAATAGGTAGGGAGGAAATTTAGGAACTAAGTTTGGGACATTCAAAAACAACCACCCTTCTACCAGAAGAGCTCTCAAATAGCACACGCCACACACCTGAGCTGCTGGAGGCAGGTATTTTTATAGCAGCAGTTCCTACATGTTTGGATCCTGGGGTCAAGCCCTTAAACTCTCTCACAGATACCACAATGGACAAAGGAGTGAACAAACACGTGCATATCACTGCATATTACCATTTCAAAGGTGTCATGTGGATCACAGTCTGGGAACTGCTGCTTTACCGGAAGGGAGGCCAAAAATCATTACAGTGGGCAGTGGTGATGGCCAGAGTTTCAGACTTCCTTGCTCTCACGTGGAGAGGATGGCACTTTGCAAAAAAACAAATCCCTTTCAGGGGAGCATGGCACAGTGCTCTGTTATGAAACTCAAACAGAAAGAAGAAAAAATCTAGCTTACTCCCACTCATTCTCTTGATTCCCCCACTAAAAATGGTCTTCAAACGCAATATTAAAGAGGAAAATACTGGAGATGGATGATGCCAGGCTCCATACCCAGGTATCTCCAGCTTTCCTTTGTAGCACAAAGCCAGCAGCAATCAGGCAATTCCACAATCTCAAGCAAATTAAAGCGCAGAGAAATCCACCAATAACCATGAGGCTAGGAGACTTCTAGCTGCACGGTACACTGGGCACGCACTTGGACAGCACTGGCAAGGTCCCATTCCGGAGCACAGCTGGCCCAGGAGGTTCAGAGGATCCTCCTGGCTGGTGTCTACAATAGCTATGGTGACCTTGTTACCAGCTGCTGAGACTTTTGAAAAGGGAAAGAAAAACCACTAATGCAGGACAGGTTAAGTGCTCCTAGACCCAAGGTCCTGCTCTCCAAATTGCAGCTCCCTAGAGTTCCTGCAGGTATGTGCCAAGGACATGTTATAGATCAGCTACAGCAGCAATCCTCAAATGGAGGGAAAAAATTAATTACTTTCATGACCTGAAATCAACCCTATCGGCTCAAGCTGTCAATAAGCAGTTGGCTTCCTGCTAAGCACAGACCCGAAACAGCCCTGCAGAAATTGAGCTGTTCCTGGGAAGCCCCAGGAACACAATGCAGCCAGCTGTATCCATAACACACTCCAAGAAAACAATTTCTGCCACAGGCAGCACAGGGTCCTTGTGCCAGAGGATGCTTTAGAGCTGGAGCTTCCACTGACCAGTTTGAACCTCACGGCACCGTACCAGGTCTGAATGAACCATGTGCACTGGCAACCAACACCCCCAGTATATCCAGTTCCCCAAACTGGGCTACAATAATGATGGCTTATGGAACCTTAATTACTTGCTGGAGGAAGGACAATTCCATTCTTCAGCGGTAGTAAGGGGATTTCAGAATGAAGTAAGAATTCTGTTAACTGGAAAGTGTGTGGTCATGCAGGTTGCAAGGTGAGGGGGCTTCCAGCTGAGTGCTGCCAATCCTGTCTGCAAACAACTTGGCTCCACAGCTGCAAATTAGTTCCTCTCTGCCCCCAGCTCTCCCAAACAGTTAACTTGTGGCTGTGAGACCATCCTATCTCCCTGCCTGCTCAACAATAGATCCAGCTAAACAAATGCCTCCTAATTGACTTTAAGCAACACTTGATTGCTTTTACAAAAAACAAAAGAGAGGAAAACATTATGGTTTATGAAATAATGACTAATCCTGGAGCAAGAGAAAGGGGATGGGTTGGAGCACTGGTGTCAAACCGAGATTCAATCTTGGCTGAAAGAGCCTCAAGACACATGGGCCAAGTCATTCACCCCTCCCCAACTGCCCTCATTTCCACACCTGCTGATCTAAGCCAAACCCCTGCTAAAATACAAACAATCGGGGCCTCTGGCAAATGAAAATTGGAGCATTGTCTTCCCCATGAGGGCTCTGAAAGGGCCGCACTTAATGAGGATGGATTGACAAAGAGGTGGCTGGTAGGCTATAAAAGGCATTCCACAGTCAGGAGCAGCTCAGTCCGGGGTGTGCTGTTGGTTCACTTGCTCCAAGCATGGTCAGGTCCCTCCGCAGGCACCCCTGGAGGTTGGGTGGCCCGTGGCTACTGGGTCTCCTGGCACGCCTGCTGCTCTGGGGCTCTCCGGGCGCCTGGGCGAGCTACCTGAGGAGATCCTCCAGCTGCATGCCCATCCCACAGCACATGGCCTTGTGCTACGATATCGGCTACTCCGAGATGAGGATTCCCAACCTGCTGGAGCACGAGACCATGACAGAAGTCATCCAGCAGTCTTCCAGCTGGCTGCCCTTGCTAGCCAGAGAGTGCCACCCAGATGCTAGGATTTTCCTCTGCTCCCTCTTTGCACCAATCTGTTTGGACAGGTAAGATGCTTTTATGAGTTATTTCAGCTGTAACAGTTAACTCCCTGCAGGAGCACAACTCCGTGTGCCTCCCGAGAGAAACTGCATTCGATGTGATCCCTGCAGTCCCCAAGAAGCAGTGCTGCTGCTCTCGGCAAGGGACAATTGGATTACTCAGCAGGGAACATCCCTCTGAAAGCAAAACATGAGCATTTCACATCACAGGAGCAGAAATATGTTCCCTCCTTGGGGTTCCTCTGCTCTCTCACCCCAGGCACTGCTGCCACATGCCCCTCATGCACTGCAGTAGCTGCTGGCATGCACCAGCTTCACCCCCCACCTCCTGTGCAGCCCCTCACCCCAGCTCCGGCCCCAAATCCATGTTTTCTCAGTTTCCCAACAGTTCCAGCAGCAGAAAGAAATCCCCAGTTTTGAGGTGCAGTTCTCAAAGTACAGAGCTGCTAAGGAAATGTGGTGTGTAATCAGGCACCTGTAAAGGTAAGCAGTCTTTGCACAACTAGATAAGATCCCTAAGGTGAAGGGCTTCTGGCAGCTTGCCTCATCCCTCCTGTCCTCAGAAATTCCTTGCTTGCTTCCTGGACATGAATGTTCCAAAAAAAGTCGAAGATCCCCAAACTGCCTGCTAACCCTTGAACACAGCCCTGTGCAGCAGCAGAGGTGTTCCCTCAGCCCCCTGGCAGGCACAGGAGGCGCTGAACACCCATCCCCTCCCCAGGCTCATCTACCCCTGCCGCAGCCTCTGCGAAGCCGTCAAGAGAAGCTGTGCGCCCGTCATGGCTTGTTACGGCTATCCCTGGCCCGAAATCCTCAACTGCAACAAGTTCCCTGCAGATCATGAACTGTGCATTGCAGCAGTCTCCATGGATGAAAATTCCTCAAGCAGGAGAAGTAAGAGGTTTTTTTCTTAATGTATTTTCTCATATGTAACACTGAAAGCTCAAAAGGATGATCCTACGACTTGTTTCTATTCTGCATATTTCTGGTTTTAAGCAGTATTTAAAAAAAAAAAAAAATTCTAGTTTTGTTCTCTCTGGGAACCGTGTATAGAAAATTAGCATAACATTGGCTGTGGCTTGCTCCTCTCTCTGCTGTATTCATTAGCTCCATGGGTGCCATCAGACCCCGCAGGGTTTGGGGCAGGGGGGAGGAAAGGCTGCAAAGCCTCCGGCCCTGGCACAGTGGGAGAGCTCATGGAGTGCAGACTCCCAGCAGCGAGATGTGCTTCCAGTGCAGCTACGGAGCTGCAGCCCGGATCTTTCAGCTGTGTCTAGGGCTTAAAAACATGCAAAAAGAAATGTTTTGCAAGCCTTCCCTCTCAGCATTAGAAACACCATGAAGGGACATGAGCCTCTGCAGACATAAGTTACACTGGAAAAAAGTCTGTCTGAAGGACTCAATTAACACCCAGATCCTGATGAACATTGGGGGAGATTCAAGAGCAGTTAAGGGGAGAACAGACATTTCAACATCATTTCAGCATCACTGGATGGAGTCTGGCCATACCACTGGTTTTGCTGTTTCATCCAAATTAGGAGATCTTCATCAAGCATTTCCACTGCTGCTTTAACATGCAGCAACACACACAAGCCTGAACAAAGCACTGACAAGCAGCGTCTGCCCCTTCACAGGAAGGAGAGTCTTAACATTTCCCACCTTGCCTGTCTGAGGTACCTCTCCAGGGCCTGGGGTAGATCAGGAAGAAGCATCACTAAGGAACAGCAAGCCAGCACTTGCAGATCTCAAAATTTCATTGTGCCTTTTCCAGTGAAGCTTTACAAGGGTGTTATAACCTAATTTCTGTTGCAGCAGTGCCCCGAGCCAGCTGCAAGGACTGTGAGCTTGAGGAGGCCAGCACTGCCAGGGAGATCCTGGAAAGCCTCTGTGCAAATGATTTTGGTGAGTACACTCCTTTTCCTCTCAACTGCCACCATTCCCTCCAGCAGCCAAGCAGTGGCATGGACAGAAAATAGCTTTGCCATAAATACTGACTTGGAGAAACTGCAACTTTTACAGCAGATCCCAGGGATTTTCAGTTTCCACCTTACCTGTGAGGTAGCAGGAGGACCCAGCTCCTGGCAGCACTGAAACTGAACACATGATTTATTTCTGTGGGCTCTGGTTTGGTTTTGGTCTGTGACTGCTAAAAACAAGCTGTACTCTGGTTTTCCCTTGCAGACAAACATTGCAATCAATGCCTATAAGAATCTTTAGAAAATTCCACGCCAGCTATTTCAAACTTTAATAGTGTTGTTCTAGTATTGTGACTCTCCCTCTCCTAGCCCAAGCAAGCAGTAGCTCTGGTGCTGCTCAATCAGATGGCAGGAAGTTTTCAAGATACTGTCCTGAATTCAGGCACACATATAGAAAAATAAATATATTTTTCAATAAAAAAGGTTACAAATCCTGAGCAGCTGTCAGTCATGTCACTTCCTGAAATCCCTGCTCAGAGAAAAGGAAAGTAATTTGCACAAGACTAGGACTTCGATGCATCTGCTTGGTTGTGCCCATGATTCCTCCAGGGTTTCTGCAGTGGTACTGACACATCTTTGCCACTCTTAGAAGGGAAATGGATTGAGAAGGAGGCCTTTTCTCCCATGTAACAAGAACAAGAGGAAATGGCTTCAAGTAGCAATGGGGAGGCTCAGATTGGGTAATAGGAAAATTTTCTTCACCAAAATAATTATCAAGCACTGGAACAGGCTGCCCAGGGAAGGGCTTGAGTCACCACCCCTGAAGGTATTTTTGAAAGACATGTGGTTGTGGTACTTGAGGACATGGTTTAGTGGTGAACTGGGCAATGCTGGGTCAGTGGTTGAACTTGATCTTTGAGGTACTTTCCAACCTAAATAATTCTGTGATTCTAAGAACAGTGTTCAGTACTGGAGACTAACCTCAAAAGAGAACTTCTACAAGTTCACTGCAATTGCAAAAGCTTGGACAGATACCTCCCCACATTACAGGGACAGCAGAGAAGCCTTGGGCTGGCTCTATGTCTTGAGGTAGGAGAGAGTTATGAAGAGTAAACAGAACTCACAGCTCTTTTTCCAACTCCTGCAGCTGTGAAAATCCGAATCCTGAGGAGGAACACCACCACCACCATCTCGGACTTCGACCTGGACCCCTCCAAAGTGGAGGTGCTGAAGCACGGCCCACTGCTCAGAACTGAAATCCCTGCCAGGCTCCAGCAGTGGCTGGACATAGATGCCACCTGCGCCCACAACATCATGAGAGGCACTCAGGCAGGGGTCTTCGTTGTAAGTGGTGACGTACAGAGTGACAAAGTGGTGGTGAACAAGGCCTATGCCTGGCAGAAGAGGAACAGGAACCTGCACCAGGCAGTGAGGAGGTGGAAACATCACCGCTGCCCCGAACAGGCGGGATGGAAGGTCTGAAAAATCTCAACTCCAGCAATAAGAAACTGCTCCCTTCCCTATGGCTAGAAAACTCCTTTCCCTGGCAGGTGGTGTTTTGGAGATGTACAGTGATATTTCTAGGTGATTTGAAGCAGTCATAGTGCACAGATAGGGCTTCACTACAGATCCCTGTTTTACCAAGACAGAGCTTAAGGATGCAGGTTTAACATGTTCCTCTGACAATGCTCTGTAGATCCAGGACATGCTATGTTCAGCTTTGCGTAGGATCCAACATCACAACAAAACTATGCAGGTGAAGACAAACTAGAAGAAACCTTTAATAACAGTTCCTTCTAGTTCTCATTATCAGAGCTGGTATTTCAGATTAATTATTTGACCCTGAGACATTGATGCTGTCCAAGTGCCCGCTTACTTTCTGTTCAGAGATTACATGAAAGTCTCCCTGACTGTGAAGTGATACTTTTTATTTAATGGAGCAAATACTTTAGTCTTGAACAGTCTGAGGTAAATTAGCAGGGAGAGGAACCTGCCCTTGCTATGCCCAGCCCCTTAAAAACTGCATGCTGAACTCTGCTCTTGAGTCAGGCTGTCCCTTCAGCTTCCTGCACTGAGAGCTGATCAGCATCCACACACGCAAAAGGAAACAGCCATTCTCAAGTAAGAAAGGCACAGAGCAGACAGCTGAGGGTTTCTACATAACATGGAAAAAACTGTGTTTCAACATCAGAAATTCAGTGTGGATCAGAAGATTCTGGTAACGGGGGATATCACAAGAACCTTGAGAAAAGCAGAGCATGAGTGAGACATCAGCTGTTAAAGCTCTGCTTTGGTGTGAACAGCAGCTTTGCTCAGGACTGGGAGGTGAGGCCCAGCCCCAGCACAGTAGGATATTGCAGTATCGATATGAGAGCAGGGGAGAAACCTTCCACAGCACCTCTACATAAGGAAGATAGAAAACATGGGAAAACTCAGTCTCTCTGCAGCTCACTATCTCACTCAAGCAGGACTGTCACTCCCTGCAGGGGCACACACTGTGCTCCAGACCACAGAGCAGAAAACGGCAAATCCCCAGATGAGGAAACAACTTGGATTTCTACCGCGTAACAAAGCACTGCCCATGGAAAATTTTCTATATCGGCAGAAACCTGTGGCTGAAATAAAAAACCAAAACAAACGGAAAAACCAGCCTTTGGGAGGAATGCTTTCTGCCTTGCTGCTGACGCCTGCAGTGCTGGCCGTGCAGAGACAGCCGGGCTGCGGGAGGCACACCGGGCTGCAGGAGGTACACCGGGCTGCTGGAGGCACACCGGGCTGCGGGAGGCACACCGGGCTGCTGGAGGCACACCGGGCTGCAGGAGGCACACCGGGCTGCTGGAAGCACACCGGGCTGCTGGAGGCACACCGGGTGGCTGGAGGCACACCGGGCGGCTGGAGGGACACCGGGCTGCTGGAGACACATCGCCTCCCCGTGTTCACAAGGCACACCAGCAACCCACGCTGCGGGCTCCTCCTCACACTGCTGTGGGCTGGAACGAGCGCTCAGACACACACACTGCAATTCAGCTGCGCCCTGACATTTGTGCAGTGATTACTTCTCTTCCCTGAAGCTCAGAAGAAAAACACAGCCAAATTTCCTATTTTTATTCCTCTCCACTGTCTTGTCTTAGAAACTGCTGCCCAATCCACTGAATCTGCTGTCAGGTGGTCCCTGCAATGGCAGTATCTTCTGAACAGACTGCGTTTGGAAAACAAAACACATAAAAGCTCTGAAGGTTGAAAAGGCTTTGTCTGATTTGTTTTCCATTAGTAGGGCTATTTGATTACGAGAGTTTCTCAACTGAAAACTGCACAGATGGTCTGATTTACAAGCCTTAGAAATGATGCCTTGCAGCCAGAGGGGGGAAAAAATAGGGCAGGGATTTTTTCATAGCTCCATAAAATATGCTTGGGTTCCATGCAGATGTGACTTACTCACAACTAAAAGCCAAACCTAAAGTTCCCCTACGGTGCAAGCCCATGCTCTGAAGCCCAGAGAACACATTAAATCATTCATGAGTGTCTGCTGCTGTGGTCGCACTGCAGCCTGCTCTGCTGAAAGCAAAGATGACAGATCAGGCACCTTCCTGTTTCCTTACATTGGCTCTTGTATGCTGCAGCACTTTGTGTCAAATCCCCAGACACTCAAGAGTCTTTGCTAAGGGCTTCTGTATTCACCAAACACAACCAAGTTAAATACACACTTCCACTAATTTAAGTAACAGAGATGCAATTAATTAGTTTTTTTAAACCAGTTGAATTAGATTGGTACTGCTTGCATACATAGAGAAGTCTCTGGAAGTCTTTTCAAGTCAGAGCTGGCTCCTGGCAGGTTCATCCAGGAGATAAGAATTGTCTTGCAACTTGCAGTTTCTAAATAAGGGACTCCTTATCAGAGGACAAAGGAGAACAGACTCATGGCATCTCAAATGGTGAATGTCTGTCACTGTCTGTGATGGCATCCTCAGGGAGCAAAGCTTCCCTCAAAACCAGTGGAGGTGCTGGAACAAGAAGCTAAAAACTGCAGGATTACTGCTGTCAGCATAAACCTGCCTTTTATCATCTTCAGCACCTTGCTTGGGGGCCAGGACCAACTGTTTCACTTCAGTGGTACTGGAAAGGCAGGGAAAGAGGAAACAGGAGTTTTCCTGAGTGAAAACCAGAGCAATTGCCTCAGACTGTGGTTCTGGTAATGCCACCAGTTTTGTGATGCTGTGGGGTTATCACCTCCAGGTTGGTGTGTCTGTTTAGTGAATGTCAGATGAAATCCACTAAGAAATTCATGGTGAGGTTTTCAGTGTATGTGATCTATTTGGAATCAGAAAAAATCCCTCTATTTACATTATTGAGAAAGCATCTGAAAGATTCTCTATGCTATCTTTTCAGAAACAACAGGTTTTCTCTGACTTTGCAATAGTAGGAATTTTGTAATGATTGACTCCTCTCCCTCAAATTATTTAGCATATTGTCAGTGACTTTCCAGAACACAGAGTTCAATTAGTGGGACTTGACCAGTGACAGCAAAGCATCACAGAAAGGTGAAGAAGATTTAAAAATATCTGAAAGGCAGATGTTGTGTGGTTGTGTATCAGAGAAGCCAAAAATAGAGATAAATCTAGAACAGAACACAAAATGGTGGAAGAATTTACATCTGTCAATTCTCCTGTTACTCATTTCCCCAGTGCTGAAGCATCAACACAAAATTGTTGTTTCATAATTTATTAACAAAAGTTTGTCCTTTCCTTGTATTGGGCATCTTCAAGGTTCTTGCCAGCGATCTACTGTCTATTCCTAGTATTTTACAGAAGCCTGAAAAACCTGGAAAGGTTAATCTTCCAAATTCTTCAAAGTGGGCCATCCAGAACACGTAACCTCTGCGAATTTTGCATCAACATACCTTAAACCATACACACTCCTTAAGGCAGCCCCGAGGAACAGCAGCACGGGGAGGCGATGCCAACACGCGGGGACTCGTTTTCCCCCGAGCGGGTGTAAGACAGCGGCGGGTGTCAGACAGACAGGCGCACACGCCCCGCTCCGCCGTCAGGGCGGAACCCCCCGCCGCCGGCGGGCCCGGGCCCGGCAGCAGCTGCCCCGGCGGGGCCGGTACTCACCGAACAGGAGCGGCTTGAGGCTGAGGGTGCGCACAGCGTGGGCCCTGCCGGGCACCAGCTCCACCCGCTGCGTGTGGCCCACCTGCGGGGAGAGCAGCGGTCAGCGCTCAGCGCCCGGCGGCCCCGGCCCCGGCCCCCGGTCGCGGCCTTGCCTTGATGCCCTCGAGGCGCGGGAGCCCCCGCCCCTCCCCTAAGAACAGCCAGGACACGGCCCGAGTTAGAAAGTCACAATTTATTTCAAATAAACCACGGGCACACCTCTGGCAACCGTCTCCCGGGCGGTTTCCGCCGCCCCTGCCCCTCTCTGGTGCCTGCGAAGAAAAGCGAGGGGTGGGAGCAGTCCCGCGCCCTCCCACACACCTCAAGGCTGTCCCACAACCCCAACCAGACCGGGGCCGAGAAAGGAATTCCCAGAACAAGTGCCTGATTTAAAAATAAAGTTCTATTTTTCACCTGCTTAAAAAGTCTAAAATTTAGAGTGCAAGACTATAGTACAGAAACCTCCTGCTGCCCCGTCTGCGGCGGGCACAGAGAGTTCGCTGCGCAGGGCAGCAGTCATGCAGTTTAGGTGTCAGTAGAAAACGCTTTGTTACAGTCTGGGAAGCCTGAGGACCAATAGAGATGAGGCAGCCAATGCACTAACACAAGCGAGGCCCAAATAAAAGTACCAGGTGCAAGGATGGAGAGGTGTCGGGCTGGCGCAGGAGCTGGAAACAAGTGCAAAAAAAGAAAAAAGAGAGCAAACATTCCACGTCTGTAGCAGTAACGCATCAAAGGGAAACTTGTACCTCAGAATTAATGACTCCTGAGCCACTTTTTATTACCTACATCCATATAACCTTGCTAATTCAAAGAGGGCCATGTATTTATTACAGGGGGGAAAAAATGGCCTTTTCTTGTGGTGTTGAGAAGCCCCATTTCCTTCCTGTCACCTGCCTCCTGAGCAGTGTCATTCACCTCACACACAGAGCCAGCAGCCCCCTGTGCCCTGCACACTTTGTCTTGAAGTCCATGACTTTCTGTACAACACCAATACAGAAGTGGTCCTGCCTGGGCTGCAAAAGCAATTCCTGTTTTCTTCCCAGAGTATGGCAATAGGATTTGTGGGTGCAACCCAGGGCTTTCATCATTTTCAGAAAGGATGTTTTGTTTAAAAATAAATGGAACTGTTGACAAAGCTCTGGTTTCAGAAAATTTGAAAGAATTAGTGGGTGCACTGTGCAATCTGTATTACTGTTCCTCAGCCAAGCATCTCAGCAGCCTGTTCAGCAAGCCTTGCCACAGATACATGGTCTGGCTTGTCTACAAATGAGAATTCATAGCAAAATATTTTGTGGGGGCATAGAAGAGGGAGGGAGGGAAGGAAGGAGGGAAGGAGAGACAAACCCTCATTCTCATTTAGCTCAAAGCTGGACAATTATGTAAAAGAAGTGAAAATTCTTTGGGATTAGGAAACTCCACATACCTGCTCTGCAGAGATTAGGTGTTAAGATAGTTATGTTTAGACAACAAGAACACCAGCTTTTATCCTAATCAGTACTTTGCACATTACATTTTTAAGGAATACTTTAAACATTGGTTGTATTCACTGCAAACTGCTGGGTCTCAGCAAACCTTCCTCCACTCTCCCCTCCCACGGAAGCAGCATGCCAAGACAATAATTTGGGAAAGGGAGAGAGAGACTGACCTCTAGGATATATCATGAGGAGGGCACAGAGAGGCCGCTGCTGGGTGCAGAGTAAGAAATGAAATCAAGAGACAGTGGCTGGAGCAAGGCCAGATTTATCTCTACAGCTCCAGCCTCGAGGGGAGCCAGAACAGGACAGAGCAGGAACGTGAGGAGCCATGGCTATGGAGATCTCTTCCACAGCAAGCAGTGCTGCTCCCAGAAGCCACAGATCCCTTCCCTGCCCTGCTCCCTGGCTCCAGCCATCTGTCCACGAGCCTGCCCTACCCTCAGCTGCTTCTGCTGTAACACTCACTCCATGGCCAGCAGCTCCTCGCAGTGCATTCCCTTGTTCCCTGAGGATAGATCCCACACCAGGGACAGGAGGGAGGAAGGAAAAGGCCTCTCAGATTGAAATTTTCTGCTGTGTACAACAAGCATGGCCACAGGATTAGCTCCTATGACAGCTACTCCTTGTTTAAATTAATGCATCGGTCTTGATAAAATCTATGAGCCCAACTGCACCTGCTGCAAATACCTGGGCCACGTGTCTCAGGTACCAAAGGGGCTCCAACAGCAGAGTTAGCTTATTCTGACACGCAGGAATTTAGCACTTTTCCCCCCTCCAGTTTAATCTTTATCAAGTGACATTGCATAAGAACAATACAGGGATGCATCAAAGGCAACACTTCCAAATACAGCATAGAAGAGAATCCCATGAGTTCCCCACAGAGGTGAAAATTTCCTCAGATCAGACTCCAGCTGCACCTTACTGGCTGCAAACAACAAGCTCCTGGTGCAAGTGACAGAGATATCTGTGAAATCTTAATATATGGCCTGCTTCCTGTAGCAAACAGGCAAGAGTCAGCATTTAAGTAACATTTTTCATGTTAACCCCTACTAAGATGAACTAGGTTTTTCATATTTTTATTTTAGTGTATATTTTACATTAGAAAAGAGAATGTTAATAAAAAAGCTCCACATGCTCCTAACAATCAATTTTCTGATAAGTTCCCACCAGCATCAATACTAATATACAAATAAATTAATTTTGCTAGTTAATTTTCTGCCTGGCTTGGTGCAGGCTCTGCACAAGCAGTGCACCTGTATTCAAGTGCCTGTCCACATTGCCAACACGTGCCAGGGAGTGTGTTGAACACAATCTTTCCTCCTCAAAACATAGTGGTGTTTAGTCTCACTTTGATGAACGAGATCAATTTTTCTCAGCCATGCTACCCAGCAGGCACAAATAATCTTTATCAGGCTGCATGGCACTGTTATAACATGGATTCTTTCACTCTGCAAAAGCCCCAATCCTTGATTAACAACTGTATGCTACTACTCCCTCATCACTCACTTTGGCAATACAACATCCTCCCCACAAAAACAAGTAAAGCAAAAATCTACATGGAAGACCTAAATTCATCAAATGCAGAATCTGATTTTTCTCAATTTCTCTCAAACTCAAGCATATCCCCCAATGTTAACCCGGTCTGTCCCTGACAATTCCTCTGTTTGTTTTTGTCTGAGTAGCTGGATTTTGCACAGCTGATTGACAAGAAAAAGAGATGTCACATGTGATCATACTGAATCACAGCCACTGCTGGTACTGTCAGACACAGCAGCAGCCACCCTTAACAGCAGCCACTCTCCTCATGCAATGCCAATGCTGCAATGCCCTGGTTAAAGGAGCATCAGAAAATCTAGCTGAGATATTTTTTAACCTCCTTCAATGACTAGGAGGATTTTTGGGTCAGAGGAAGGGAGAAGGAGAGGGGGAAAAGCCCATTAAATTTACAAGCAGATTAAGGAAAAACACTCCACTGCCAATTTATTTTTAAAAAGGGTTTTGTGTTATTCTAAGGTTTTGTCTGTATAATTGTACAACCGTTGAAAATTACATAAACTGTAATGATCTAACACTATTAACAGCCATTCAGAAAAAAAACTCCCTCCCCTTCTGAAACCATCAAGGGCAGGAGGGAAATGGCCCAGGAAATATGCCAATCTGAGCTCTGGCCTCTAGCCTGGCAGAAACAGAAACAGAAAGATAAGAGAACAAACTGGACTAAGAGGTGGTGTTTGCATGTGTCTGACTTGCAAGGGGAGGGGTGGCTTTGTCCTTGGCCGTGTTCTCCCAGAGGCAGTGCCTGCTTATCCCAGTGAAGCTACCATCACTTCACTCGCTGCTCTCACCCCTGCACTGTCACTTCCTCCTCTCTTATGTGTCATGGAAGTCTTTCAGCAGGGTCCTCCGTCTCTGCTCTGCTATGTGCATCTGATTCTCTAAGTCCTGGTAAAAGAGAAGGTACAAACTGTTAGCATAAAATGCCTGGAGAAGATCTCATTTTCCTTAGGGGGACACTAAACTCCAGCTTGAGAAGCACCAACCAATACACACTTCATGCACACTCTGGATTACAAGATCCCAGATCCTTTTTATGTGGGCTCCCTCTGCAGTTACCCAGCACCTGCTCTGTCTAAAATGCTATACACTTAAGAAACCTGCTTTTCACCAGAAGGCTGCATGCAGTCTCCTCCAGAGCTCAATGGGACTTGTTTCATTTTGCAGGAATCCCTACAGCCCTCCCTCCTCTCCCACAAGGCTGCTTCTACATCATCTGCTGGCTAAAGGTGGTTTCTGGATCTAGCTTCTCAGAACCCTCACTTGACAGCCTAGTGCTCCTGCAGAAGTGTTAAGCCCAACGAAGAAAATCTGGCCAACAAGCTCAAGCAAGCAGAACACTCACCCCTCTGTCATAGCTGTCTGCTCGCTCCACCTTCCATGAGAGATTTTCAATTTCAGCTTCCAGCTGGGCCTGCTGGTATTCAAACTGCAAAGAGCAAAATAAGAGACATCAACACAAAACTAGTTTAGTGGAGCAGTTTCTTTACACTGGAGGAGCAGACAAATGTGTCCTGCTGACAGCAGTGCTGGCAGAGCAGGTTTGTGTCTCCTCCTTATCCACCTTCACCTAGATGGGATCACCCCTTCTGGGAATTTCTTGTGGAAGCACTCCCCAACCTGCATCACTCAAAATTAACCCAATCAGCCTAAAAACACTGCACGTGACAAATATCTCCTAATTCAGCTTATTCTGCCATAAACAGGTCACAAGATGCTCTCATAAGTAGCTCTGCAGGCAGCGTGAAGGGACTGTTAACCACTGCTGGGAGCAGCAAATTGTTCCACAGGCACTGTCAGATCCAGAAGAGAACATCTATCCACAGCCTTAGAGAACATATGATGCCATGAAGAAAGATCCTATAACAAGTTTTACAGGACAGCTGAGTCAAAGAAAAAACTCTTCCCTGAATTCAAGGTTATTTTTGTACTTTTTCAGCCCATGAGATGCACCAAGCCAGCAAGGAACTTATAGCAGGAATAAAAAGCAAAGCTACACCCTGATCCAAGGAAAAGCTCTCCTCCAGCAGCTCTTCACAGGAAATATGGCCCACAGCATTGTGATAAATCTTACCAAGAAATAAATGCACACTTCCAGCCTCAAAACACTCTGGATAAATGGCTTGTTAGTGAAAGTGCAGTGAAGTCCCCTGGGAAAATAATGTAATGTATAAGAGGACAGAGCTGCTGGTCGACTTGAAGTGAAGAAGAAAGGTGCAATCCCACCTATTTATCCTGTCCTTACCTCAAACTCAGGACTAGTATTTCAGACACTGCCCAGCTCTGGAATTCAATCCAGCATGCTGCCAGATACACCCCAAAGAGTTATCAGCAAAAAAAGAGCAGAGCATCTTACCAGCTTCTTTCTGGGACCAGACTCCATGTAGTAGGCATATGGATATGTGTACTGCAGGGTGTAACGACACTGTCCAAGAGTGGGAGGGAGAGAGAGAAAAAGACAGGAGTCTCAGTCTTGGAAGTCAGCACAGTCATATTTATGCAATCACTACAGGCTAAGAAGCTACCTCCTGACAACTGGAGACTTCCTGGTAGAATTTCCTACACCTTCCTTGGAAGAACTTGTGCAGGACTGTGTATTGTGGAGTATGACTTCACAGAGGTCACTTCTAGATGATTTTTGGTTTGTTCATGTCCTACACCAGAAGTACTGTCCCACAAAACCACAACTCTTCAATTTCCTTCCTTACTTGGTGTTATGGATTTAGCATTCTGGCATGTGTTCTCTTCGCTGTGCCAAACAAGACACAATTACTCACCTTTGCAAGTAGTTTTGCAGCATTCTGTAGATATTGCCAATCTATCCATGTTCCCAAGTTGTTCATAACTCTTTCTTGTATTTTCTCCTGGATTCGTTGGTATGTCTGTGCCTCCAGCTGTAGGCTTTTATTGTGATTCTCCCACTGCAAGAGGTGGGGAGACAGGGAAAGGAAAAAACCAGCATGAGAACAGAGTACTACTGCTGTAAAAGCACAAGCTCTAGCAAGCAGAAATTGGAGTGGGGCAGGAGTCCAGCAAGGCAAGACATGCTGTGGGAAAGAATGGCAAGGCAGCACCTCCAGTAGCAAGTGGCAGAGGCTGTAGACAACAGACTGACAGCAGCAAGAACAGGGAGCAAACCCAGCTCTTCTGAGTGGGAATGCCCTCTGGTCACAGTGACCTCGTGTCTAACAAGGGGGAAAGTCATGGGGATTCCTCTACTCAAAGGATTTCTATAGGAAGGTCAAGAGCTTAATTAACATTTGACATGGGCTCAGTGAACTCCAGTATCCATGTGCACATTGTAAACATGGCTATTTCCCAAAGCCTGTTGGTCTGGAGAGCCAGGAATGAAGACATTTAATTTATGACAGGACTTGGCTCGTGCTGTGAAGAATAAACTCATTTTAATGGGGAAACTGAAATGCAGCAGTATTTAACCTCTACCACATTCTCTTCTAGAGATACTGCTGTAGAGTTGCTCTGCATGGCCAGGTGCATGGAGCCTGCTGTGTGGACAGACATGCTTTTGAAAACGTGATTACATAAAATTTTAGTAAAAATTTTGCTACAGCCAATGGAGTTTTGAACATGGTAGAATTTATTCAGTTTTTATCTGTATAAAGATGTACTGCAAGGAACAGAAGTTCCCCAGTCCTGAAAGGAAATGATTGGAGCAATATCTATCTACTGCAGCAGCACTCAGCCTGCAGGTACATAGTATAGTGGCACACAGGTAACACTGATTTTCTCCAGCACAAGGGAATATAGGAGTGAATACAAATTGCTTTGGATATGACATCACTGGTCTGCATGGGACTTTCAGGGCAGGATTTTGAGTGAAAAACAACAGGGCCTGAAAATTCTGCACAGATTCTCTTTGGGCAGTTTCTTGCACGGAGATTGCTGGCAATGACCTTTGCACCAGGCAGGGAGCATTAAAAGGCTACAGCAGCTCTGGCCAAGGAGATGTCTCCTACCCTCTCAAAATAGAACAAGTACTTCTTAAGGGCCTCCCTGGCCTGTGCTTGCTGACTCTGGTTTACAATATCAGGATTCTCTTTGTACCGACTGCATTCGTAGTACTCGCTGCCGTGAGTCTTCCAGTCTCCCAGACACATCCAGCAGAAGTCTGCAGAAAACAGCAAAAAACCCACTGTGATGCACAGAAAAAAACCTCTAAGAAAGAAAAGCTTCAGGAGACAGAGCCCATCTGTGTTCAGATGTTTCTGCTAAGCCAAGAAACACACACGTTTTGTATCACTTTGCAAAACAGAACTCAACAGTGAGCCAAAAATGCCAGCCTGTCTTGAAGATTTTAATTGCACAGCCTCTCATTCAACTATGGAAAGTAAATCTTGAAGTTCTGCATCCTGTACACTAAAACCACTGGGCAGAAGTGCACTTGCACCCTGCACATACTGTCATTCTGGGTTAGAGAAGAGGCTGCCAGTCTCTTTTGTGAGTTGCACCCTCCCCACCATGGGCACACTGTCCCATGCAAACCTCAGTCTGAATAAAACACGAACAATCGGATCCAAAAGTGAACTAAGCAATGCAAAAGAAAGCCTGCCCTCAGTTCTCTCCAGGAGGGAACAACCCAGGTAACATCAGATGTCAGTGGCTTATGACACTTCGAGTTAGAAGCAGCTGAAATAGGAAGAAGGCAGAGTAAAGACAGCAATAGTAAAAACAGCAAAACATGGCAATTTTCTGATTTCAGGGCGAAGCTGTGAGTGTTCTGCTTCAAAGCAAAAAAGATGGAGATTAAGTTGCTACAATAAGAATCCCTTCTGTGTTACTTATGGTAATGAGACTGAAAACTGTAATTCCCAAGTTCATCAGCCTTCTTGAGTGCTAAGTCACCATGGTATCTTGGCACTTGCCTGCTCCCCCTTGTCACAGAGCTCCATCAAAGCACATCCAGTGCTGCCGAGAACCCCAAAGGGAAGGAAATGAGAGGACAGTTGCCTTTAATCACCTTCCCAATCAGGTTCTGATATTACAATAGATTCCAGTGGTACACTTAACTCAAGAGGGCTGAAAACAACTCTCTCACTCCAAGGCAACAGAAATTAATTCTGCCATGAAAAGGGAAGTGCAAGAACAGGCTGCTGTTTTGTAGGGCCACACAATGGGCCAAAGACACTCAGGGTGCTAATTGCACAGGAGTGGACTGAGAAGTTCAACATCTGCTGCTCCATACAACCATTAATATAACATATTTATTAATTAAAACATATAATTGCTCCTGCAGTTTCATCTGAGCTGAAGCTCATTATTTCCATCACTAAGCAGAAGGACTTAAGCTGATCTGAGTAAATGGCTACGTTTGACAATATTTTCAGCTGATTACAAATACAATTATATGGAAAGCTCTCCTGTGAGATGGATTCCACTGTTAATATTCTGGAGACTTCTCTATCCAATAGACATGTCAGGGGCAAAAGCCAAATCAGCACTGCAGAACTCAGCTGACATCACAGCCAGTGGGGAAAAAAAAGCTATCACACAGAAATCTGTAATCAATATCCTTTTCAGGATATTCAGCTTTTACTAGGGAGAAAATATTTCAGCTTGTGTTCACAATTTGTCTTAATATAAAAAAAAAAAAAGAGAATGGATCATCATCACTGACAAACATTGCAGAGAAAACAGCTTCCAAACCCAACTCACCATGCTTGCATTTGGAACATTGCTGAAAAAGAAGAGACAAGAGGCACTTGGTTAGCACAAAGTGTGGGAAAAAAATTCCACTAAGAACAAGGGAGGTTTGACGTGTTCAGGGAATTACTCACCATGTGATTGCAGCCTCCGTTCTTTTCAATACAGATATTGCACTTGGGACACTGAGGAAACAGACACAATTGTTAGATCCAACTCTAGCAGCCTTCTGAAGAATGACAGCACTTGTGTGATTATTCCTCTCTGCCTTTGTTTCTCATATGTGAATGCATATTTTTAAGAAAAAAATTCTCATATGAGAATATTAGCATTTATACCCTGCTTCCCACCAGTTCCTGTCAGCTCCACTTAAAAGATGGCAGAAAGGCAAAGTCAGGAAGTTGCACTGCAGCACTGGACTGTTTGCTCAAGAAAACATATTTACTGTTGTTACCCCATGTAAAACTGAAGGTCTTGCTGAGTTACCACTCTGCAGTTACTCGGGCACAGGGACACAATGTTCATGCATGACAGTGTATCACAGCTACCTGGCTACAGATAATTGTCACTATACTCTGCCTTCAGCAGCTACTAACAAATAACATCTCAGCTACCTGCAGAGATTCTGCCTAACCACAGGAGGGCTGCACACAGCCCCACTCCACAGACACCCTGGAGTGTCCAGATATATTTTTGGGCTCCATAGATAAAAAGGAGGAAGTGAGTTTTGCTACTTTGTATGAATTTTCACGTCAGGCAAAATGTATGCCAGGACATTGCTCAATAAAATAAAATTTCTACAAATAAGCATAAACAATACCATCACGTGCTGACACCTTCTCCAGAGAAGGAAGGGATCTTGAAATCTCTGATCCATCTAAGTATCCCCTTTCCTAATATAACTGAAGCTTGCAGCTAATCACCGCTGTCACAATTACCACTGGCCATGGTAGCACAAATGTAGCCAAAACTGTTTTGAAGTCAGGCCACAAATGCCCAAAGACATTAAAAGTTCCAATCTCAGACAGGTAATTAAGAGGATAAATATAGTATATTTATACAACAACTCTATAGCAGGTAGGCTAACATGCACAGTATGTAATACTGTTTCTTTGTCTTGGGTCTGAACCTATTACAAGTACTCCAGTGTTTAATTTACAGACTTCAGCTACCCCATTTTGCAGGCTTTGCCAAACTAAGACTTTTTCCCTCACCCTCCAGTTCACAGTACTGCACAAAGTTTTTCAGGATTAAACACCACTGGTTCCTTATTTGGTACTGACTTTGCACTTATGACAGCCTCTCCTTCCATTTTAAAAACAACTCCACTGATTGTTTCAAAGTACCCACAGTTCTTTTGCCTGTGGGAGGACAACACACTTGACAGTCAAAGACATTCACACCAGGTCTGGAATAAGGACCACCAGGTCCTTACTGCAGGAGGGCAGCTGAGCCTCCCACACAAAGCTTTCCCAAGGCATTCAGATGAGTTATATCACTGCCATAGGGATGTAATTAGCTCACATATGACAGCAGCTTCTGACAGAAGCTTCTTGACAGTCCCTAGGGAGCTCTGAGGATTTGTAGTCTGCAAAGAAGAACACAATGCTCTGTGTGTATAGAATTCTATCCTGGTTTCCAGGCAGGGCTAGAGGACAAGAAATAACATGCAGGTGCTGTCCTTACATCTTTAGTGTGAGCACTGATGTAGTTGGCTGTTTCAGAGTCATCTGCACACTTGGTGAGCCATTTCCGAATGGTCGCGCAGTCTGTGGGTGCGTGGTACATCTGCCGACACTTAAAGCTTAAAAGGGGGGAGAAAAGAAGAAAACAGCGTATCAATTTCTACAGAAATGACTCAAGGATTGAGGTTTTCCTGACCAAAATCTGGGGGCCCGGTAAGGGATGGAAATGCTCTTGTGTATTAGTAGAGTGTGAAGACCAAAACTGAACTCCAGTTCTCCCTTCTTCTTGTGTACAAGCCAGGGCGAGGATGGCAGTGAACCCAGGCCTGACAAATCACGTGTCTGAGGGCTGACCTGGCCCTTCCTAGAGCCCACCTGTCTCCTCTAACATGACTGCAGAGATCTGGGATGCACCAGACACTTACAAGTAGCCTGACTCCAGTGGCAGATATCAGGCACCTCTATTAGCATGACTTGACAACCCCAGGTGAGTAAGGGCCATTGGCATGGAGATAGCAGAAAGCTGGGCCTCTAAACTGGGAGTCAAATGTTTTTAATAGACTTCAAAACTCAATACCAGCAGATAGCAAGAGGGACTCCATGTTTACTGCCAGAATCTATATCAATCACTGTGTCTGTAGGAAAACATTTAACTAGCCAAAATGTGAGAATGGTAGATTTGTAACCCCTTGGTTACTCAAGCTGTGTTCCCTGGTTGTCAGAACACCCAAGTTCCCAGGAGCTTAGGAAGCAAGGGGACATCTGACCACCTGCAGAAGTCAGATCACAAGTGTCCAATTACTCAGGCTAACTCAAGTTACAAACAACTCTAGCAAAGCATTTCAGACACTTCTACACACCAAAACTGTTGGCAAGCAAAAGGATTGGCTCTGAGGACAGCACACACTTTCCCTGTGCTCTGTAACCTTCTCTGTTTCTTACCAGAAGACCTCATTGCAACGATTGCACTGCACTCGCCGGGCTTTTGGCTCTTGTACCTGTATGACCATAGGGCAATCTGCACCAGGACACAGCTGCAGCTGGTAATGGCTCTGTGGACACAACAAGGCACTAAGATCAGCAGTGGGTGCAGGAAACATTACCTGTTCAACTTTCACCATTCCTATCCTCAAAAACATACAAAGCACTTATTTCGTGTTAAAAATGAGTGGAAAGTGTCACCAGGTCTTGGCTATCAGAGCAGATCCTGCATTTCCTAGTATGGAAGAGGTTTGTTAGTTACTTACAGCTTCTCTAGAACAGGGAATTCAAATGGATTCTTATAATTTTGTGCTTAAGTCAGCACAACAAACAAAACCCCCCAAAGACACTAAACAAACTATTTTGCTCCATTTGAGCTCTTTCCCCATCTTCTCCTTATCTATTCAACTGCTCTCCTGTGGTGGCCATTTCTTCCCAAAAGGTCTCTTATTGAGAAGAGGTGACACCATGCTTTCATATTGCTTTGCTGCTTTTTTTTTTTCATATTGCTTTGCTGCTTTGTTTTTTTTTTTTTTTTGTTCCCTGTCTGTTCCCAGTTAGCTGGACTACCCTAAGTTGAGGGACCTATTTTTCTGAACCTAAAAATATTTATGTAAGAACAAGAAGGACTAGAATAATCAGATTGAGGTTTTGAAATTCTCAGCTGCAACACTCTGAGAATTCTGAAGCCTCAGCCAAGGAGTGAGTGGATGACCTTACAGCAGAATTTACTTTGGCAACCTGCTAGAGCATTTTGTCAGTGAGGCTGTCCTACAGAAGCAGCCACATCATGTCTATCTATTGAGGACAATTTTGCTGCAGCTACTGCAGTTCTAATCAAAAATGCAAGACACTTCAAACAAAATTTCTGCAAGTCATTGGTGATTTGACCCAAGGTATCTTAAAACTGAAAAAAATCTACTACCTCCACATAGTCCCTGAAGAGGTAGCGCCTGTATTTGTCTTTCAGCTCTTCACTAGGCAGCAATGGAAACACAAAGTCTTCTGGTGTCCGGAGTAGACAGTCCTGAGCCATGCAGGACACCCCTGAGAAGAGAAAGCAACATCTTAGAATAGTGCAGCTTATACTAAGGGGTGGATGCACAGACAGTACTCAGCACAGTTTCCTCAGTGCCATCTGTTGTTGTGGCAAGAGGAATACAACTGTGAAACAAATCAGGGCTGCTGAAAAGCTGAAGCCCAACTGTCTTCACCAAAAGATGACAGGGCACATGTACATCCAGGACCAGTGAGTGCTTCAACCAGTATTCACAAGGTCACATACTTAAATTAGAAAATTACATGTTACTGCCATGCCAACATGAAAGACAGGCTTGGGAAAGCCCAAAGCAACTCTGGCAACTACTGGCTTCTCCCCAGCACAAAGGGAACAGATGTTTGCATCCACAAGCACTCCAGGGGCATTGCCGCAGTACATCATCACAGATGCAAATTCTATTCAACAGATTTGCAGCTTCTAACTTGTTACAGTCATACTCTTGACTCATCAGAATGGCCAGTGGGGCAAATACAGGCCCAGCACCTCATCCACCCCGAACTCACCGACTCCAACACCATCCTTGACGAGCACTGTGCAGTGCTGCTCCCAGCAGCTGCGGCAGAACTGGTGCTGACAAGCCAGGGAGAGCAAGTTCTCCTTCCGGACAAACTGCATGCACACCGCGCAGTGGTGGGAGGAATGTACCATTGCCTGGGGGAGAGACAAATCAGCAGTGCAGTGAAAGCATCCCACACCTCCCAGAGCGTTTTCAGCTCATCCACAGGCACCTGCATCACCCTCACGGTGACAATGGTCTCCATGGAGGTGCAGGCCAGAAGAGGTTCATGAGCAGCTGGTGTGCTAAGGTGCTGCACTGCCCCAAACAGTCAGACCTTCTCAAGAACCTCTCATCTCACAGAGCACAAGCTGACAGTCACTGAAGAGTTTCTGCCTCTCTTCTAGTGCTGCCCAGAACCCTCCTTTACTTTTCTGGTTCTTACTCTTGCCTTGTTTGAAATATGTCATTGTGTTAGTCCTTCCCTGGATTTACTGCTATTCTTTGTTAGCTGGGCCAGACTATCTCCACAGGCTCTGGAGAGCAGCTGTCACTGCAAACAGACTTAGCAATGCCCTTTTACCAGACAGTAATTTAGGGTAATGGAAGACATAATTGTAGAGTGTTTATATGGAGAGGAAAGGGAATTCACAAACTATCACCTCCCATCTCTTATCTTCTGCCTATGCCTGTGCTACATTTGGCAAAACAGGCATCGTCCCTTCAGCTGAAAAGGATTAAAAGGGTTTATTTCAAATCGGGCACAACTGCTACTGCTTCACCAAACCACTGAAAGTAGTCTGGTTTCCCCCTGTGTAGTGCAGAGCTGATCCCTAGACAACAGATCCAGCCTTCAACACATCTCCACTCACCCCTGGGACCCGCAGAACTAGGTCTAGCACAGCATCATCAAAACCAAGGCTCTACAAAGCTGTCAGCTGCACTTTATATTCCAGTTTTTTCTTTCTCAGAGAAGTAATATAATCACTTTGCATCCACTCTGCTGCTCGTGGAGAAGCTGGTGTAAGCCTGCCATCAGCTTCCAGGCCGAGCTCTGCGTGCCGGAGACGCCCAGCAGCACCATGACACACTGCTGACTGACAGAGCTTGATTCATGGCATGGCCACATCAAAGAGAAGTAATGCAAATTTGTTCTAAGTGGCCTCACTTACAGACCAGAACAGGATTCACTGAGTCTGTAATTGCACTGATTGCCAGGATCAGCTGCTCAGCCTGAAGAGCACGTGTGCTACCTCAAACCCCTGCAACTGCCTCTCTGAGCTCACTACTACAGCTTCTCCCTGCAGGGTCAGTCCCTCTGCAGACACTCACTATGAGATCTGTCCCCAGAATCATTCTGCATTACAAACTGAAGCACAGAGCACCTTGCTCTAGCACACACAGACTGTAATGAATTGCCTAGCAAATCAAGTTTAAGTTAACCTTTTAATCATACTATCTTTCTTCCTAAAATAAAATCACATTTTGTAGCAGACTGGAGAAATTATGAACATTTCAAAACAACTAAAGTGTGTGTCTGGGCAGGGGCAGGACAAGTTCTGTGAAGGTGGGGTGGTCACTGCTCCATATCCCACCTACTGGAGCCTGAAGCCTCTGGTCCAGGCCCAAAGTGGACCAAGCCACTGGAACACTGAAAGCCCCACCTGTGGGGAGGGACCAGAACAGATAAAAGACCATAACAACAGGGTGCAGACTCAATGAGTCCCACTGCCTTGGGCTTTACAGCAGCTAAGATTGACTGGATCCAAGGTGGTGACTATTATCTCTCTATCTCTTTTTTCTTTCTTTCTTCTCCTAGCTTCCTTTTCTTGAAATCTGGATGGATTACAGTTTGCTAACTCAGAGTCTTGCCTTACTTTAATTGGATGTTGCTTTAATATTTGCCAAGTCTTTTATGGTCCAACGTTTCTAAGTCAAGCTTTGCTATTCAACTCCTGAGAAGTTTGTTGCCTTCTCCTGCACTCTGCCGAGGGGTAGCACAGCACCTAAGCCCCTTTCAAACTCATTGAGAGAGCTCAGGGTGTGACAATTTTTCAGGTGCAGTGAGCAGAGAGTCCTTAAGGGCAGTGAGGAGCTAATTTCTACTGGGACAAACACAGTGCTGCACAAAGGAGAATTGTTATTCAGTCAAAGCCAAATTTTCCAGCAGAGAGATCGTAGTAACCTGGGAAAAGTGCAATCTCAACTGCTACCTTCAGCTAGACTTGCTGAAGGATTATAAAGCTTGTCCAGCTTTGAATGGACAGAGCTGGGCTGAGGAAAATTGGCATTCTCTGGCTGGTTTTGTGGAAAAAATACAGTATTTAGCAAAAAAGAAGATAAAAAATTAGTAAGGGCAAATCCATAGTCTGCACACTTTTGGGAGCTGCTTTAATAGCTGCTCAAAGAGATAAGCACAGAGCTAAGCAATGAGATTAGGTGGTGAAGGGTCTTTGACTGAACTGGATAAAATACTGCAGGTGACCTTGGAGGCAGAACACAGTGCCCAGCAGGAAACACATAATGAGTTAAATGCTGAAAAGAGACTAACAGAAAACTTCCATACTTAACTAATGAATCCCTTGTAAGAGAAAGAGAATTACATTTGCAGATTGCATGCTTGAAGGGGGAGGATTTGGAGAATGAGGTGAGGCTTTCCAGACTCACTTAAGAGGTGGACCTTACTGACAATGATGTCACTTGCCTTTATCCTTGGGAGGAGCTTGATACAGCTAAGCCAGACCCCCAACCTCTCCCTAAACTCTGCCCACTTATAAAGACTGATGCTGTTTATGAGATGGAGTGTGAGGAGGCAGCACCCACTGCAACAACTAAACAAATGCCTTATTCTGCAACTGAGCTGGCTCAGCTGCAAGAAAAATACTGCAGGCATGCAAAGGAAACTAAAACAGTATGTGTGGAGGATTTCACTAATGGGGGGAGACAGCATAAAGCTGTTGGAGGACGAAACACAAGGACCCTGTGGTCCCAGAGTGTCCTTCACAATGCATAATGACAGAGAGCCCTGATCTCTGACCCCAAGGACAGCCCACTGGGCAGGAGGTTTAGACCCCTTGGAGAAGGGAGAACCCCTTCTCACCCCCACTCCAGCACTGGGGAATCTGACCAAGAGTGTGCAATAGGCTGCTTGCCTCCAACTGATACACAAGAGGGGTCTTGCAACCTCTCAGTCTTCTCCCATGCTTTTGTTTGCTGAGCCAGAGAATAAACCCCCCTGATTAAAGGACTAGCTTTAGGCAACTCAGCTGCTTAGAGCTTAGAGCTGCTTGTGGGGGTGGACTGCAGGCAGGACCGGTCTCACATGGGGGCAGCTGGTAACCTGTGGCACACAGGTAGGATTTGTTGCAAATGAAGAGTCAGACTGCTGTACAAAGGGCAAAGCTCAGGGATCCCATGGGTAGCCACAGATGCCCACGGCAGAGAACACAAAATTAACACCAGATGGAGAGTTCTTTCTTTTTAAAACCAGTCCAAGCGGGACTGGGTTTTCTCTCTCCTCTTGCAGGTATTTCATGAGAAGATAACTGGCCATGAGAAGATGAAGTGGCAACAGGACTGAAGAGTTACACTGTTCTTCACTGCATCGATTATTTGAATGCATTTTGTCTCAGTACTTTTGTCATGTTTATATTTGTAATGTTTTGTTTCAGTTTTGCAGAATGTACAGAAGTTTGCCTCAAGCATTGTTTTGGTTTGCCACATTGGGCAAAAAAGATTCCTATACTACCACTCCTATACTTTATATTTTCCTACCTCCTCAGAGTAAAATATTAAGTTATTAAATATTAAATTAAAGCTGGGAAAGTGTTTGGTCCAAACCCAGGACCCTGACTGAAATGATGTGCCAGTGGTCTTCACCTTGCCTGCCAAGGAGGTTGGAATGGCCCATTGCAGGGGGAATACTCAAGTGACAGCTGATACAAGACTTGGATAAATCTTGAACTACACAGATTAATTTGCAGGTATGTCAAATTAGAAAGATTTTTTTTCTGGACTTTAAGCAGATAACTTGAGCCCATGAAGTTTACACTTCTGCCAGCTTAGCTTTTTCACTATGTGCTAGTTACAAGAGAGCTCAGATGCCAAATCAGACTTTTAAGATCTCCTCTCCCCCACAACCCTGAGTGCTTCCCAGATGTAGCATTTTATCACTCATAATCTGACACATGGCAGTGTGTTCCTAGGGTAATTCTGCATTGTCCCAAGACACCCACCGTGAATGAAATCTATAAGCATGCAACAGGAAGTTTCTATTTAAAGGTGGGGGGAAAGTATCTGAAGATCTGTGTAGCCTTGGCTACGAACAACAAGTTGTTGGTTCAAATATCAGCACTGACTGACTCAGCAGCAACACAATTCATTGGGAGATTTAGCTTAAGCATCCCTGAGCTGAGCAGTGCAAATAGATAAAAAAAGATAAAAATGGCAAAAGACAAAAAAATCTAAAGAATCTCTTCCAGACACAGACAAGCTCTGCTCACTCTGTGCAGCCAGAACTTCCTTTCAGTGTCTTTTTACACAGAACAGAGTCGGAAGAGGCAGCCAAGCCCATGCACTCTGCTCCTTCCATTGTCTGCCATCACTTGTGCCAAAAAATCATCCTAATTTTCTTGAAGAAAGTTATTCTTGAAGCCTGCAAGCCAACAGCAAAGCTGCTATTTAAATATTAGAGACCTCTTGAATGCATTCTCATTTCAGAAATAAACCCCGCAATGAATCAGGATGTCAGACCAGAGTTTGCAAAGGGTTAACACTGGACAGAGGATGCCATTAGTAATGCAATCCCCCATGAGGGGGGTCAGAGGTGTCTGCCAAGGGAACAGACGGGATAGTTCACATACTTACATGTTTGGATGAGGTGGGCTGGACTCGAGCTTCTACTAGCAACTGGGCAGGATTAGCCTTGTGCCTGAAAAGGCAATTGAAGAATGATCAAATCAAGTTCTGAATACATTTTGCATCGTTTAATTGATCCTTCTTGATCTGAACTGAATAAACAGCTGTGCAAATAGTAGGGTAGGTTTCAACAAGGAAAGTGGAAATGTCTCCTGTGTGAGGTTCCTTCATATAGAGAGCTGAGCTCCCCTCAACAAAATCTTATGAGAGTTTATTCAGAACCAGAAATACTGCTACTTCTGGGAATGGATTCACATTTCCCTTATACATCTTGATGAATACATTTCTATAACTATCTCCCTCTCCTGAAAAATTGTTTTTAAGCTAAGATTTTCCACCCACACTCCTAGAGCAGTCCAAAGCCACTGTCCACAATAGCACACACCAGGGCTCTGGACTGTCTCCTATTCCTCTGTAAAATTAAGCTGTCCTGGTTAAGTCTCACTTGAACTCCAGACTATTGTCCATTTAAGTAATTACTCTGTGACAGATTATCACCCTTTAGGTATATGAAGCTGTCTATCAGCAGCCATATAATTAAACATATTTTGCTGTTTGTGATTTCCTTTGCAGATGAATGTTTATATCTCACTGAATTCAGAAACAGCAGCATCACTGTTGTGGCCTTGCTGTTAAGTCCTCCCTCCTCACCAGCACTTCTTAGTTATGCTAGTGAGCTTTCTTTTGACAATTTCATTTTTTACCAAGAAAGAAGTTTGAGAACTAGATCAATAGGAGAACAATTTGCAAATTCATCACTTTAGGAGTAAACCCTTCCCTAAATTTCCTCTTGTTTAAGTCACATCAGTTAACCTGCAGGATCACACTAAGCTACTATGCAGCAATCTCACCCTCCTTGAATTCCAGAAAAAAGCTTTCACAGGATACAGGGTGATCAAGGAGGCAACAGCATCCATAGACAGGATACATTTTCCATACGTTCTCTGGATAAAGTTGCTGGCTACAGGGCCAAAAATGTCTGGGCAGAATGAGTCAAGCTGATATGCTCTCTATTTTCAGACAATGTTCAGTTCTGAGCCAGTATTCTGTGGTGGGGCTGCCAGCAGCAGTGCCTCCCAATGCACTTCCTGCATGCTAGGGCAGAGTCCGAGCCCTCTTTTTGAAATCAGCTGGAGGGCTTTGTTAATAACAGTGACACTGACCAAACAAGGGAGCTGCAGTGCTCACTTCTCTCACACTATCTTCTCCTGCTCTCCAAATGCTGGCCAGCTTGGGAAAAAACCAGCACTTAATGTCAAAAGGAACAAAAACTTCAGTGTGAATGTACTACTGAAGACTACATCAGAAGAGGGTCAGTGCTCCTTTATCATTTATGGCTCCTGTGTTCAAAGCAGATCATATGTTATCTTTATGTCTTATTAAATAAATATAGATGCAGCACTCTCAATCCACTATCGCAAAATTTAGGATAAATCTATCTAGAGGGTTAGGGTTCCTAGCATAAGAATAATTCCTAAACTGAAAGACATATACTACTACTACCTGCTTAAAAATTTCTTACAGGCAGTGCAACCTCACCAAATCAGTAGCTTTCCTCTGCTCCCTAAAATGGACTGTGTGTCCCGCTTCCAGGTCCAAAGACACTTGCCAAAAATACCTATGGAGCACCTTGAGCATTTCTGCAAAGCCAGGGGGGAAAGCACTAAGCACAGACAAGATAAGGCTATTTACACTTACCTTTCCAAAATCTCTGAGATTTGCCAGTGGAAACTAACTAATACTAGCTTTGCAACAGCATGTGATACCTAGGTGGAAAATAAAAAAAAAAAAGAAAAAAGGTCAAACTTTGCACATTTTGAAGCCACACCTCTCTGCTTAGGAGTATGATTTTCATATAAAATTTGTATAATCTCAGTACAATATCCCAGTGACAATCAATTCACATTAAATTGCTAGACATGATGCTCACAGCCAGTACATCTGCAATACAAAAGCTGGAATGAAGTATGGGTGTACAAAAGCTAACTCATGTACTTTGTTACAACAGCACAGAGAGGAAGGAATCAAGAATGCACTGGATTTGCTTGACTGCTCATGGAAGCCCCACATCCAGTCCTGACTGTCATCACCACTCCAGAAGGCCACACTAGACTGCAATCAGGGTCCTCACCACAAATGCAGAGTAGGAACCCCAGAGCAGACAGACACCCCTTACTGAGGTGGAGAAGCAGCAACAGGCTCCAAATGCAGGCAAACTGGAACGGCAAAGGGTATGGGCAAAATATAAAACATTTTGCCAGCCCTTCACTGCAGAGAAGAAAGTTACAGGCTGGAGTGGAAGGAAGATAGAAAACTACAGTGCCAGGGCTGTTTCCATGCAGAGCTGCTTGCATTACGTGGACTCTTGGCAAACACTAGCACAATCCGTGCTAGCCTGAGCACCAGCAGAGTACTGCAACATGACATTTAAAGTCATGCTACAAGGGTACAAACAAACAAGTTCTCCTTCATTTTATGTATTAGTTTATTTCAGAAGAAAACAGACTTCTCTGTTTGCACAAAAAGACTCCTACCCACCAAGAGGACAGACATCTGCTGAGCTGATAGACCTTCACCCTGCTTCTCAACCCCTTCAGGTGCTAGAGTTCAAACAAAGCATGTGTCCTCTAAACAACAGACCTTTTCCAGGGGAATTCAGAGGGCTGACAATGCCTGTCTCCTCACTGCTATTTGTGCTAGGAAGCACCTGGGCAAGTTTGGTGTCTGCACATTCTGCATTCAAACACCCTCTGACACCAAAGGGCTCTGCTCCCACACTCCAAGATGAGCTATCACCAAGGGATCCCCTGCTTTGCTCGCAGAAAACAACTCCTTCTGTTCTAGCTGCAGGAAAAGTTGGTTTTTTTTCTCCTAGAGAAGCTGTCAGTCCCAACCATTGGCTGAAATGCCACAGGCCTTCTTGAACCCTGCTACAGGTGAATCACAGCCTGTGATGTAGTACAGACAGCAAACCAATACAATCCTGGAAGGAAAAACAAGCAATGGTTACTCCTACAAAAACAGTCAGGCTCTGCACACCTAGAAGCAGCATATTCACTACTCTCCTAAGCCAACCCTGCTGAAGAGGTGCAGTTTCACAATACAACTGACCTATTGCTGCCACATGATACTGCCCTGATCCTGCACTGGCATTTCTCAGTGCTGGACAGTTGGGTCAGTGAATTAAACCTGGGCAACACCAACACACAAAGCAGATGTGGTGTTTAATTGACTCTTATCCATCTCTACAATCTGATGTGCCCACTTTGCTGACCACTTAGAAATCCCACTAACAAAAGGGCAATTTTCAATATACAAATAACCCTTTTTCTAGGAGAACCAAAGCATTAGCTCATGCTGTGCAAGGTCTGGCATGTCACCTTCCTCCACTTTAGCAGCAGTGTGATGTGACCCTCTGAAAACAAAGGCTGCCAGGCAGCACTGCCCTCCCTCCCAGCACAGAAGCCTGTGGTTAGATGGAGCGTGGCACACAGGGCTGCTGCTGCCAACACACACAGTCTGCATGGATGAAGTGACACTGCCAGCCTGGGATGGGTTGTTATCTTAAGCCCCCAGCCCGGCAGACCCAGACAGACACCTCTGACTTGTCTGTACAAGGAAAACATCTGCATTTGAGTCTGTAAAACAAACAAGCACCAGGAATGTGGTCTCTACAAGACTGGCTTCCTACAAATGCAAACCACATGCTAATGAATCATTCTTTAGCAGTAATGAAACTATTTCTCAGTAGCAGTAAGGAAGAACTGACAGAAGAAAACAAACTGCTGGACTTAAATGGGAAGCTGATGTGTAACATAGGAAAATGAGTATTTTTCAGTTGGATTTTCAGAGCCTGAGGTATAGCATTTGTTGCAGCATCGCAATTCCATGGAGTTACTTGTTCCTTGAGGGGAATCAAGTACATTCAAGACTCAAGATGCACAGAAAGACAAATATCAGCAGACATTTCTGAAACCTAACAAACTATCCTAACACAATCAAATGCTTTTGAGCCAAATTATATGTCAGGCAAAATGTGGAATTAATGCTCCAGAAGGATGTCAGACTAACAGATCTAGAAGAGTAACAAAGCTTCTGTGACTATTCCTATTCAATTCCAACTACAAGCACTGTAGTGCTAATTTTAGTATTTTCATCATAAAAGCACACAAGAATACAAAGCACACAAGAATATTAAAAAAAATTCAATTCATAAAGCCTGATCCATGACATTAGACCACTTTCATAAGAGCCCTGAAGCAGAAAAATTTTTGATACTACCTGATCGGAGCAATTGTGATCTTGCAAAACAGAAGTCCCAGAGTCAGACAGTTGCAGCAACAAATGCACAGTCTCCTTGGCACAGAAGTACCAGTTCTTACAGATTAAAGATAGGTAACATTCAAACTGTGAGGAAGAGGGATGGGAGAGCAGCAAACAACTGATGCTGCTGGGGCTGTGCCTGCTGAGGGGAGTTAGGCTATGTCCTGCTCACCGACAGCAAGGCTGGGAATTGAGAAGAATTACAAACATAAATACAATCAGGGGCAAACACTACTGAGGAGATTCCAGAAAACAAGCATGAGAAGAAAAACAAATGTTTAACAAAAGCCTGCTTCTATTGATTAGCAGTGCTCCCCAGCCTCTCTTCAATGACAGTATACTCACAATGACTGAATGATTGTACCAAGTCAGCCAGTTCTTCCACAATAACACCCCAGAACAGCTGAAGCATTTCTTTGTAAGCAAGGGCAAAAACATGCTGAACACAGAAAAACACCACTGCAATCAGAAGTTTGGTCCATGTGTACATATTCATTATCTTACAGAAGTACAGAAGAAGCAATGTACAGAAGCTGATACTGCTGGCACACTGTCCAGTGAAGCATTTCCTTGACAGTCAGAAGTTTCACCCAATGAAGTACCTCAAACTTACAAAACACTTCAGAAAGAGCACTGATTCAGTCCCCTATCAGTCACTGGGTGCCACAAGATCTCAGGAACAGTAATGCTTTGTTTCAGCCACAAACACATTAAAAAAAATTATGCCTCTGATAAATTGTCTGCTTTGTTTAAACTTTCCTATTCTCATTTCAGAATCCTAAGAACCAAAAAAGGCAGTAACACAGCCCACTTGGTGTCTTGCAGGCAGCAGCTTCTTTCAATGAAATACTTCCACAGACCCCAGTGCAAAGGGGAAATGCATGTTCTATATGTTGCACTATTTCAGTATTTGCCTGCAACCCATCAATTACGCCAGTTCAGTCTGATAATCTGACTTCTCCTGAACTCCTCTATCTGGAATTAAATTTATTAAAGTTCAGAAGCTGAAAGCGACAGCAATGCTATTTTTTTTCTTGTCCTCATTCTCATTTCTCCACTACCAGCTTAAAAATTTAATATCAAAGATAAGCCCAGACCAAATCTGAACTTTGAAAATTTCTGACTGAAGACCAGACTTCTTTCTCCATGATGTGGCAGCAAAGCTGAGCAGACAGAATCTCATCCAATCAGCTTTATTTTAAAACAGGAACTCTGTCACCTCCAAAGCCTCTTCCAAACCTCCACCAGTTTAACTCTGACTTATGGAGGGCTGCTGATTGCCAGGAATGGCACCAAATGTTGATCAGAGCACTGGAATAGGGGAGCAGCACCTATGTGCAGAGCAAGGGTGCCAAGAGGAAGCTGCTCTGCATAAGGAAAAGACTCTGTAGGAGTTGTAAAAATATTCTGAAGATTTTACATAGTGGTAAACAAAATCAGATTCTGAAAGTGGAATAAAATCATAATGCCACTACATCAAAAACAAATGTATCCATTTTCTGGAAGAGTACACAATATTTTTTTTTCATTATTTCCATCTCCATTTATCTTCTAGGTTCTTTAGTCTCCAAGATAAGCAAAATTCTCACACATCTGAAGTGTGAAAGACAGTCTGGCACTCTTTAGGATAAGACAATATCAAAAGAGTTTGCAAAGAATTTCTGCAGGTCCCTTGCTGTGTTCAGAGGGCTCTAAAACAATTGTCTCAACTTGCTTCCTTAGATAAGCCAAGGTGTTTGGAGACTTGATGTTTCATCTCTTTACAGCAGAAAATCTTTTTAACCATGCCACCTTGACTATTGCTAATTCAGACAGAAATGTTTCCTAAAAGCTAAAAAACCACCATCTTTTGTAGAGCTTGTATTTTACAGAAATTGCTCAAGCATATTTATATCACGTGCATATCTCATGTGAATGAGATATGAACTCACTCAAGCAAGTTCACCTCACTTTTCTCAAAGGGAAGGTCTATTTTTTGGAGGTGCATTTCAATCCTCATTTTTGCAGGGACATGCTACCAGGAATTTAAAACAACGATCATCACATGATTCTTAAAGAGATTCAGTTCAGTACGAGATGGAGATGATAGGGTCTGGTTGGAGCTGACATCCCACAGCTTTGCACCAAGCTGACAATTCCTGTTAGATCAGGATTGCACTGAAATGTCTGCCCAAGAAGAACACAAATTTGGCATAAAGAAATGTAGCTTCCATTTCTTTCATTTTCCCCAATCAAAGGTTTTTATACAAATAGATTTAAACAAATAGGATTAATCTTGAGAAGCGTTTGTTTCAAACCACAAATAGTTTTTGTTAGTTCTACAATGAAGGGATGAACTTCAAAAGATTGTTTTGTGTGTTGCATCCAAACCTCTAAAAACACACTAAAATTCTTTACAACAGGAAAGGCACATGGAGCAAAAGCTTCTGAAATAGTTTCTGTT